CTACTCTAACATTAAATCTTATTTAAAAAGGTAATTAGATAAATGAATCTCACCATTGTTGACGGTAGTCCTCAATGCCAAAATGGAAGTGACTGGAAAGGCATTTAGAGAAAGTTGCCTGGACCATAAATGACCTGCAAATTAAAAAAAAAAATTTTTTTATTATATATTTCTATATAATTTTAAACAGTAATACCTACAGAATAACTACGACAAATGAATGAGTCTTCCTGGGCCCCAGGACCACTTGCCAAGTAGCTGACATCACACCTCAACTCCTCCTCTCACCCACACATCCAACCAGTTACCAAGCCTTACAGAGTCTCCTCAAAAATCAATCCACCTGTCAGCTACAACTTCTACGGCCTCATTGTCTCTTTTCCATTTAGGCCATATCATTACTCAGCCACAGTAATAAGAGTATCTTAATAGGATCCCACTTTCACCACTCTTCTAAAATAACGGACAGGTCTGGTCACTTTACAGTCCTAATGTAACATTTTTGCCTTCCTACTGGCCATGCATAACAGAGTCAAAACCATTCAGCACAGCCTACAGGGCTGCCCTACGGTCCCATGCTTCCACACTAGCCTCACGCTCCACCTTTCTCTCTCCCCTCCTCCCTCTCTCTGGCCGTGCCAGACCTGTAGTTGGTCTTGAACTCACTCTGCTCTTGCACACTGTGTGTCTCTGCCAGGCTCTCCTGGTTTATCTGAAACATCACCTCTTGGTTAAGCCTCCCAATTCTGCAGTGCTCCCCTGTCCCTCTAGAGCCTGCATAGCAACAGGCTCTGCCTGCACTGCGCACACAGTGAAGAGGCTCTGACAGCATTTACAGGCAAGTGATTTTTGACAGGGGTACCAAGACCACTCAGTGGGGAAAGAATGTTTTCAACAAATGAGGCTGGGACAACTGGACATCAACAGACAAAAGAATGAAGATGGAGACCTATCTCACACTATATATAAAATTTAATGTGAAATGGACCAAAGATGTAAAGGTAAGAGCTAAAACTATAAAACTCTTAGAAGAAAATATAGGAATAAACTGTCATAACCTTGGACTTAGCAATGGTTTCTTAGATAAGACATCAAAATCACAGCAACAAAAAGAGGAAAAGTTAAGTTAGACTTCATCAAAATTTAAAACTTGCGAGCTTCTAAGATCAAGAAAGGGAAAAGATAACACACAGGATAAGATGAAATGTTTACAAATCATGTATCTAAAAAAGGGATTTGTATCTAGAAAATATAAAGAAGTCTTACAATGCAAAAATAAAAAGACAAACCAACTTAAAAATGGGTGACAGATTTGTATAGACATTTCTCCAAAGAACATACATATACGGCCAATAAGTATGTGAAAACATGCTCATTATTTATAAGAGAAATGCAAAATAAAACCACAAGTTGATATCACTTCATACATAGTAGGATGGCTATAAACAAAAGGACAGATAAAAACAAGTGTTAGCAGGATGTGTAGAAATCAGAGCCCTCATACACTGTTGGGCAGGAATGTAAAATGGTACAGCTACTTTGGGAAACAGTCTGGCACTTCCTCAAAAATTACACTCGGGAGCTCCATTTGCTCCAGTAATTTTTATTCCCAGGTATATACACAGAGAAAAGAAAATATGTGTAACACAAAAGCACTGCAAATAGATGTTTAAGGCAACATTAAGCATAATAGCCAAAAGGTGGAAGACAAATGATGTATGGATAAACAATGTGGTGTATTCATTCAACAGAATAAGGAAAGGAGTACTGATACATAAACATGGATGAACTCCAACAACATTATGCTAAGTGAAAGAAACTAGTCTTGAAAGACCACATATTATTCTATTTAAACAGAATGTCCAGAACAGGCAAACTATAGCAGTAGATTAGTGGTTGCCCAGGGCTGGGGGGTAATGGGAAACATGAAGGATAGGGTTGGATGGTGACAGCTTGAAAGTATAGTTTCCTTTTCAGAGTGAAGAAAATGTTCTAAAATTGATTGTGGTGATGGTTGCACAGTTCTGTGAATATACTAAAAACCAATTTATTGTACACTTTAAATGGATGAATTCGACAGTATGTGAATTATATCTCAGTAAGGCTGTTACCAAAACAAAAGAACAGGCTTTGGAGCCAGGCGGTGTAAGTGAAAAGAATCTGACGTCTTCCTAGTCTAACCTTGAGCAAGTTTCTCAATCTCTGTGTGCCTTAATTCCCTTATCTGTAAAATGGGAATAACATTATCTACCTCATAAAGGCAATGTGAAGATGAACTCAAGATAATACTTTAAAAAGTCTCTAGACATACTAAGAGCTCATGAAGAAAAGCTACAACAGGTAGGTACTATTTGAATGGGGCTTTGAAAATGAAGGAGAGGGTCATGACAACCTAGAGAAAAGAATGTTCAAGTCAGATTTTCCACCAAACGATTGCCGGTCAAATTTTGCAGCAAAAATAAGTTACAAAACAGAAAACTTCAGGGTTTAGAGGTCTTTGGATTTAGTAATTACAAATGCTAGATAGTAGACGTAACAGTAAAATATTACAAATAGAGAAGGCAAAGGCCAACGTTACGTTAAAGGACAGAAGACAGCCCTTTCTAGGGTTGTACACAATCAATAAGGGGGAAGGAAGACAGTAACAGCAAAAGTAGTCATTCGAACCACTGTCTTTTAAAATAAGGCCACCGACTCGCCCGGAATCTAAAACGTCTGTGGCTAATCCCATACGCCTCAAACTGGAGGCCGTTCTTTCTCTTTCCAGCTTCTCGCCAGCGGCCCTCAGCCTTGAACCCCACACTGACATTACCTAGTGAATCTGTGGGTCTCCCCCGGAAAGCGATGCTTGCCAATTCCCGCTCGTCTTACCCCAGCACGTACCACTGGAAGCAATCTTGGTAAATGGTATCCAGTTCACCCACACTTTACAGACAAGAGCTCCCTACCCCAGAGAGGGAGAGGACGCGCGCAAGGTCACACAGCAACCTCGCGCAGGATGCGAGCCCGGCGTGAGGACCCCACTGCAGCCCCACTGCGAGCCCATGCTCCCGAGGTCCCAGCGCTCACCCGCCGGCCCGCCGCACAGCGCAGGAAGGCGGCCCGCAGCGCGTACTGCAGCCGCCATGCTGGAGCGGGGAGCAGGGCCTCAGCCTCCGATCCGGGCAGCCGTCCCCACCGCCTACCGCGACTGCGCCTCGTCAAACAGAGAGTCTCGGCCCGCAGCTGAACTCTCGAGGCCCGAGAGGATCTGCAGCACCGCAGACTAGCGTGGAGTTTGCAGGTACAGGCCACAGGGTAGGCTGAGTCCGGCACAGCCGCTGACAGCCCCGCGGGGGGCGGTCCTCGCGTTAGGACCTGCGGGCGGGGCACGAACGGGATGTGGGCGAGTCTAGCTCTAGGGCTTATAGTCCGAAAGAGGGGCGGGGAACCGGCTGGAGCAACCCGAGGATTGGTGTGGCGGCTCAGGGGCGGTCCGTAGGCGGGGTCACCTCAGGGTGACCGGAGCTGGCGCTGGGGATCCCTGAGAGGTGAGACGTGGATGAAAGACACCCAATTCAATGAGAATCCAAGGAGTGAATAAGACTGACAAGAATGTACAGAAGTTGCTTGTACCGAACTCTGAGGTTTTTTTAAGTACTTAAATGACTTTGGATTTCACACGCGTTTGTGGATTCATTCTGATTCTAACGTTTGGTCACACATACGTACCTTAGGCTTAAGCCGTGTTTGGGGGGTGGGTTTTACTCTTTTTAGGCTTGGCTTCATATCGTCTCTGCCTGCCCAGATGAACCACATACCTGCAACAGAGGCAGAACGATAGAGATGTCTTGTAAGAGGTTACCAAGCATGCAAGAGCAATTGTCTGATTTTTTAGTACAAACATTTTCAAACATACAGAAGAATAAAAATAGTTGACGAGCTACAATCAAAGATTCCTCTTTTTCCATTTTCCCTATTTCAGTCCTACCTATTTTTGATGTATCTGGTTTTCAACAGACTTTTTACATCTCAAATTGGCTAAATTAAAAGAAAAGTGATTGATGACACCCACATGTCAGGCCACCTGCTTCAGGATCATTGGGAACATGTAAGACCAGAAAATACCACGAGCAGGGGCCCACTCATTGCCACACTTCATTTGCTGTGGAATGAGTTCCTAAATCAGAAGCAATGTTGTATGGAATACCGTAACAGTGAATAAAATATTCTATAGATCAGTGGATAGTTCGGGTTTTTTGTTGTTGTTTGTTTTTGTTTGTTTGGGGGGTGTGTGTGTGTGTGTGTGTGTTTGAGACAGAATCTCACTTTGGCACCCTGGGTAGAGTACCATGGAGTCATAGCTCACAGCAACCTCAAACTCTTGAGCTGAAGCAATCCTCTTGCCTCAGCCACTGGATTAGCTGGGGCACCTGCCACAATGCCCAGCTATTTTTAGAGATCGGATCTTGCTCTTGCTCAGGCAGGTCTTGAACTCCTGAGCTCAGGAGACCCCCCTGCCTGGGCATCCCAAAGTGCGGGTTATAGGCGTGAGCCACCATACTTGCCCTTGGATAGTTTTTTGGCAGAAGCTTCATGGGCAGGAACGGGTAACTCTACGTCCAAGGTGTCTATTCCAGTAAGAACAAAGTGCTGCACCTTCCACAACAGAACTGATCCAGTGTAATCAACCTACATCCAGATAGCTAGCTGAGCCTCTGGGAGTGGTGCCACATCAGGGGTTTAGTGTTGGTCTCTGCTGTTGGAATATGGGACACTCAGCAGTGACCATAACCAGACTGTCCTGGCCAGTGAAAGTCCATGTTGAGCCACTTGAAAGGAACATAATTAGAAAACTGGTGACCAGGAAATCTGGAGAAGAGGTTTGTGGACATACTTCAGTGCCTGGGTGACCAGGAAAGCCATTAGACAAACCCCATGAAAAAGTATAGATCTGTATTTCTGACCAGTAAAATGAACCACCAGATATGCTGCTCTAACTTCTCCCACTAGGATAAGGTAACCAGATTTCAACATTGATAAAGTGGGACACCATTGGGGGGGAGGTGTTCTTAATTAAAAATTTGGTCTATATGGAGTAACAAAATTTTTCATAGAATGCAAAAATACTATTGTTATATATATATATTTAATTCCAACATAAGTACAATTACAAATATAATACATTAAAAAAATTATGTTTAGGGCGGCACCTGTGGCTCAAAGGAGTAGGGCACGGGCCTCATATGCCGAAGCTGGTGGGTTCAAACCCAGCCCTGGCCAAAAAAAAAAAATTATGTATAGTATTATTTTATTCTTTAGCATATTTCTCATTTGAGTGAATTTTTTTTTAGCAAATTGCTGTTGTTTAAAAGGTCATGAAATTTTTCACAAAAATTTGTTAAATTATATTTCACACATAAAATGGCTTTCAAAGTCTCAACACTTAATTGTGATTTTTCTGATGTCCACACTTTATTTACCGTAGAAAAAAATGCATTTGGC